TGGTCACATTCACATCTACCTATGCCTGCTCAGTCATGTCTTCCTACTCTGTATGCCAGCTCTGTCACATAGGCTGAATTAACATCTCTTTTCAGGCATCCTCCAAATTACAAAGAAGGAGCAGAACAACATGCTGACCCTTTGCTAGGGTAGTGACAGGCTAGGTGACTGACCACCTCCTGTGTGGCAGGTGCAAAGTTTGGCCTGGGATTCTGGTCACCACACCATGTAGAAATACACTTGGGGGTTCCCTACCTGGGACTGGCTGCCTTCGTGGCCCGTTGCACATGCTGTGCAGTGCATTCGATTTGGGGGTCCAGGGTTCCCGGATTTTTCTTTTCTTTTTGACCACCTGTAAGTGGTCCTGGCCATGGGAGACTGCCCAGAGCAGCCTCTAGCCTCTCTGGCTTCTGACTCACCCAGACCGGAACCAACCAGGCTTATCACCCCAGCTGTACAGAGAGGATGCTCTTCTATAGGCCCTGTGGTGTTTTTCGCAGGTTTTCATGTTTTCAGCTATGGTATAAACCCTTAAACTATGCTCCACCGGTGTCCCACTGGCTCTGCTTTTCCTCAAACTGTCCCTGCCACCGCTGCTGACAAGACTGGTCAGCTCCATGAGGCAGCTGTTTTCAACTGAATTCCAGGGAGCTGAATTTAAGGATCCATCTTAAACAGATCAGATACACCCCTCTCAATTCCCTGGTCCTAAAAATATTTTTTTCCTAAACTTAACTTTGTCCTCTGTTCTGCCGATACCTTAAATAGGTTATAAGAGACACCAGACATTTCCATACCACAAACACTGGACAGGAGCAAAGAGACCAGCTACCCCAGGATATGACCAGCACCCAGCTTTCTCAGGTCCCCCCCAAGACAATACCCACGAATAAACAGGAAGCAATCTTGAGAATCTGCTTTAACCTGTTGTGCCTAACCTCCCTTCTTTTTATTATAAAAAAGAGATGGGAATGCAATAGTCTGTCCTGCCCCTTTAAGAGACAAACCATGCCCCCTCCCCCCCCCCCCCGGCCACCCCCAAGGCAGGAAGATCTTCCTTCTGCTTACAGTCTGAGCCTCTTTCCTTTTCTGTCTCTCTCCCAAAGAGATAGCTGCTGCCATGGCTCCTCTCCTCTCCCTTCTCCCCCCTCTCTCTCTGCCTCTCTGCTCTTTTCCCTTCTGCTCTTCCCTTTTCCCCTCCATAACCCACTAAATAAATATCCAACCTCTCTCTGCAAGGCATGCCTTTCCATCTTGGTCTCTTACCTGGCACGTGGCTCCCTGCCTGGGACTGGCTGCCTTCATGGCCTGCCATGGTCTCGGGACCCGTTGCCCACTGCTGCCACTCAAGGACCTGCAGTGTTTCTGCCACTGTGTCCCTAAGGGGAACCCCAGCATTTTACTTAAACTACAACAGTATCAGTTAAGTTTCTATTGCTGTGCTAAAACACCATGACCAACTTATAGAACGAAGAGTTGATTTGGGGTTTGGGGTTCTAGAGAGTTAGCATCCATGATGGCAGAGCAGAGGCAGTAGGAGCAGGGGCTGAGAGCTCATAGCTCAAACCCTGAGCAGGAAACAGAGACACTTGGAATGACACAAATCTTTTGAAACCTCAAAGCCTGCCCTCAGTGACACATCTCCTCCAACAAAGCCACACCTCCTAATTCTTCCCAAACAGTTCTGCCAGCTAGGGACCAAATATTTAAACATGTGAGACTACAGGGGTCATTCTCAGTCAAATCATCACAGCAACCCTAGCAAGTACAGGGTGTTAGTGTTCAGGCATCTGTACTGGCCTGCCCTTGGGGTTCTGATGGGATACATTCTCAGCTCATGAACATTAAAAGGACCCTGCCTACCTCCCATTTCTCTCTCTCTCTCTGTTCCTTTCTTTCCCCCACCCCCTTTCTTTCTCTCTCTCTTCTCTTAGGCTGCTCCTGCCACCAGAGGCCACTTTCCCCTCCCCTTCCCCTTTTTATTTATTTATTTTTCCCCTTAACACTCCCTTTCCCATAAGAAAAAGGTTTCACCCCTCCATGTGAACTCTGTTGCATGGCATCTTTCTCGCGCCACTTTTTAAATTACAACAGAGGGAAGCAAGGACTTTTAGAAATATGTTTTCCTGTCCTACAGGTAGAGCTGAGAGGCCCAGACCACAAGCAGCGGACAGAGACTTCACCAGCGCGTACACAATGAGCCTCTTTCACTGTCACGGGCCAAGCTAGGAAGAAGCCGAGGCACCAGCAGCCCTGTTTTCACCTTTTTGCTCTAGTACCTAGCAGCACACACCACTAGAGAAATAAGGGGCAAGTGTTTAGCTGAGGGCATCTGCTCGTCCCTGGTGACCCAGCACTTGAACCTGATCAATGAAAACAGCAGGAGAAAAACTTGAATGCTTCCAAGATGGGTCTTCAAGGCCGGGAGGATCCCTAGGGCTGTGGATCCCTAGGGTAGAGACATGTGTGGCGTGATTGAAGAACCAGCTCAATCTCTGGTACCAAACAAACAACAAATGAATAGATAACAGCAGCAAAAGCAGGTATCTCCACAGACAGCTGGAAAGCTGTGCTGGTGTCTCACTAGGGCTGGGAATGTTGCTCAGAGGTAGAGTAATGGTGCTTGCCCTTCATGCACAGAGGTCCTGGGTTCTACCCCCAGCACTACAAAACGGGATACCACTAAATGGTTGTGGTTTGGATTTGAAATGTCCCCATGGGTCACTGAATACTCTGAGAAGACATCCTTGTCCTTACCCTTAATTTCTGTGTTCTCTCTGCCTGCTCCACCCTCTCTCACGCCCTCTCTCTCCTCCCCAACTCTCTCTTTCCTGGGCACCATCAACTCTGTTCCTACCCCATGCATTCCGTAGCTTCACACTTCTTACAGGACCTGGAACCCCTTGATCTAAACATTTAGCCTAAGTGGGCCTAGATTAGCCGCCACCAACATGTGACAAATACGAGTTCTTTTTGATGGCTGCACTTTAAATTCATGCTTCAAAAATTCTCACAGTGGGCCAGAAGACACCGCCCAGACTTTTTCATCTCAACTACTTGGGGAACTGAAGTCAAAAGACACCAAGTTCAAGCTCAGCCTGTGCTACAGGGCAAGTTTGCAGTCAGCCTAGGCAACTTTGTGAGACTTACTCTCAAAATAAAAGTTAAAAAGAAGATTTGGAATCTACTCACAGGTAGATCCCTTGCCTCATAGGCACAAAATCCTGGGTGCTATCCCCAGCATCAAAAGAAAAAGAAACAAAAGGTAAAAAAAAAATTACTACAATATTCCAAAGAACACAACCTCACAACCAGAATACACAAGACATGTGAGGTAAGAAACCCCTATGTGACAGCACAACCAACCAATAGTAAAATCAGACTCTTAAAAGGTTTGTAGCTTAGCCAGGTGGTGGTGGTGCATGCCTTTAATCCCAACACCAGGGAGGCAAAGGCACATGGATTTCTGTGAGTTTGAGGGTAGCCTGGTCTACCGAGTGAGTTCCAGAACAAGCCAGGACTGTTGCACAAAGAAAGTCTGTCTAGAACCCCCCCGAATCATCTCCAACAAAAACAATACCCCCCACATTCCAACTATTGGACATTACACTTGCAGGTACACCCAGCCCAATAAGGCAAAAAGAAGGATTCAAAAACTAGAAGTAAAAGTATCGTTATTTGCAAATAGTAGATGATAGACTAGTCTATAGGTCAGTTGTTAGAAAAAGAGTTTGGTACGGTTGCTGCATATAAAAATCAATTCACAAGCAGCAATATTTCTGTAAAGTATAAGAAATAAAATTGGGCTGGGCAGTGGTGGCTGTTAAGAAAAAATAATAAGAAAAGGGGCAGCTCCGCCGTTGCAAGAAATCCAATTAGGTCAAATCAAACCGAATCAAAATACCCATCATTTTATTAAGTAAGATGCTCTTGGGTGGCCGAGAACATGGCGGGGAGACAGAAAAGCAGGGAGCCCATGCAGACCTGAAACGACATGTTTCTCCTCTGGGAACCCACTTAAATAGCCTGTGGAAGTGGTCCTGATTCCCCCGGGGAGGGATCAAGATCTGGCATGCTGGGATATGGAGTCCAGTCTAAAGCAACTCCCAGGCCAGGGAGACTGGGTGGATGCCAGGGGCTGGAGACTAAGCTCCCAAGTTAACATCCCAGACTCTTTGGATATAGGGATGACAGGAAATTGAAGTGATAATTATGACAAACACTTTAGGCTCTCTTTGGAAAAATAGCATAGACTCAAGTCTGGCTACTTCCTGTGGGCATAGGGCGATGTGGGGAGGGGAGAGTTGGGTGTTGGTGAATCCACGTCTAGCAGGTGGTGTGGCTGGAGAGGCATCCTGTCTGCTGTCATTTTGGAGTCACCAGGCATTTGTTTCTTGAGGGAGGTGAGAAGGCAGGTATCTAGGAGAAAAAAATATTGTTATTACTGAACCTATGTATGAAATGGGGCTAGCCATGGGATGAGACACAATAGCAGATGAAACCAGATTTTAGTTGGCAGGTGTCCTTGATCCAGAAGAGTCGGTGCCAATGGTGAGGTCCCAGGAACTGGTACAGGTGCTTTTGGTGTTTTCCTGGGAGCATTTTGTAGGCTGGTCTTGAGTAGGCAGCAGGAGTAACCTAAAAAATATGCTTAGAACTGGAATTAAAAACCTTGGATTTTACCAGACCTGATTTTGGTGTAGTGAAAGAACTTTTCCAGGAACCTGTAGCAAAAGGCGATTACTTTAGGTTAGAATGCTATTAGAGTAAATTGGGAACTCTGAACCTCTGAAGGTTGAAGCCTGCTAGTGGCGCATGCCTTTTATCTCACCATTCAGAAGGCAGAGGCAGGCGGATCTCTATGAGTTTGAGGCCAGCCTGGTCTACAAAAGCTAGTTCCAGGACAGGCTCCAAAGCTACACAGAGAAATTAAGAGAGAGAGAGAAAGAGAGAGAGAGAGAGAGAGAGAGAGAGAGAGAGAGAGAGAGAACTGATTGTTAAAAAAAATACCACTTAGAAAACAATGAAAAGAATAGAGTGTCTAGAAATCAATCCAAGGGACATTCTGTGCCAGCTGGGAGCAGAATAAAGAATGACATTGTACTGTAATTATCACAAACTTGGCATTTCCCAGCAGCACAAGCTTAAAGCCATGGCACAGTGGAGGTCAGAGTGTGAATGGAGGGTTTCATGGGCTAAAAGCAAATTGGTACAGACGCAGTCCTTCTCAAGACTCAAGAAAAATGCCTTCCCTTTCACTCCCCCCTCCTTTCTTCCTCCCTTCCTTTTTTATGCTTTTTCTTTTGTTGTTTACTTGTTTGTTTTTGAGACAAGGTCTTGATCCCTGGTTGGTCTGGAACTCACTGAACAGCCAAGTTGACCTTGAATGTGTACTGAACTGCGTGCCTCTACCTCCAAACTTGGCTGAATTTGCACCAATCATGAAGGATCCTCAGAAACAAAATTTTTGGTCTTTGCCCAAGGTTTTCTGAGTCTGCAGTTTAGAGTGGAAACAAATATGTAGCCAGCTTTCTGTGCAAGATGTTGCCTGTTTTAAGGCATTCCTCATTTTATATAAATTGTAATAAACAGGAAACGATGCTTACCGAAAACCAAACATAGTACCCGGTTGTCCTCAAGGTGTTCTTCAACTTGGAGAGTCTCCTTGAGCAGGAAATGATCCAACCAGACAGGAGATAATAGCGTCTTTTGTGGATGATGAACTTGTGTGGACTAAAGAGCGGTTATGACTCCATTGAGAGGGCTCTGTGTTACTGAGATGTTCGGCTCATCTCATTGAAGTTAGCAATGTCTTCATGGTCCTGGACTGGAAACCATCATATATATGTATTTCTAGCTGGTGACCCTCCATTTTGTGACCTTGTACTACTCTTGCTGGAGGTAATCTCATTGCAAGCGTGCAAGTGTAGGTGATCTCATTTTCATTGCTGTTCCTGAAAGGACACAAATTGAGGAAAGAAATGGAATCACAGAGACTGGTAAATCACCCCCTCAGACTCTAGGGAAACACCCTGGGCATACCTGGAGGAATCTAAGTCGACATACCAGAGACGCTTGTACCACCATGTTTATTGCAACATTGCTCATAATATCCAAGACATGAAATCAATCCAGATGCTCATCAACAGGTGAACGAATAAAAAAAAAGAAAGATATATATATAGAGAGAGGATAGCTTCATTCAGCAATGAAGAAAAATTAAATTATGTCATTTGTAAGAAAATGAATGGTACTGGAGACCATCATATTAAGTGAAATAAACCAAACGTGGACAAGTATCTTGTTTTCTCTCATATAAATAATCTTAGATTTAAATATATAACATACATATTCATATATAACATGTATATGATATAAGAGTAGAAAGGGCTATGTAAGGGAATAAAGGAGCTTAAAATGTGAAGTGAGAACAAGAGGGTAATAGAGTTTTACATTTTCACATGCATACACACACACACACACACACACACACACACACACACACACAGTGGTTTAAACAAAAATGTTTCCCATAGGCATCAGGGAAATCAGGCCAGGTGGCGCACGCACGTGCGTTCTCTCTCTCTCTCTCTCTCTCTCTCTCTCTCTCTCTCTCTCTCTCCTGCTTTCAGATCTGGATATAGAACTCTCAGCCACTTCTCCAGCATGTCTGCCTGCAGGCCATCTTGCTCCCTGCCGTGAGGATAATGGACTGACAGCTTTGAAACTCTAAGCAAGCCCTAATTAAACGCTTTATTTTATAAAAGTTGACATAGTCATGGTGTCTCTTCACAACAATAGAACACTGACACTGAATGAATATATATATATATATATATATATATATATATTCCTGTTATTGTTGTTAGACCATGGACACCCCCATACTTTCTGTCTTTTTCCTAGAAGTCAAGTCACATCCCACTCCTTCAGCTGACAGGCTCCTGCTGTGAAAGAGCTCACGGATATGGTGAGGAGGACCATGCTAGTGTTGTAAATATGCTTACGGTCTCAAAGAGAGAGAGCACAACTCCATTTAAATGTCTGAATCAAACTTTACTCTGGATCTTAAGGGTGTGCTAGGAGAGCAAACAGACAGGGCACTATTTTATTCTTTTAAAAAAATATTATTTATATTCCTTTTGTTATTATAGTATAATTACATCAACTCCCCCTTTCCTCGCTTCAAACCCTTCCATATTACCTTCCTTGATCTCTTTCAGATTCATGACCTCCTTTTTTTTCAGTTGTTGTTTAGGAATATACATGTATATTCCTAAATACATCAACACAACCTTCTCAGTCTATATATGTTATGTGCATATGTATGTTTTCAGAGCTGATCACTTGGTATTAGTGCCGGGGTCCAGTGCCAGCCCTAACATAAACTATCTCTCTGGACCAGAGGGGAGGCATGAGATTAAAGACACAACTTACATGGCTTTATCGGGAGGGAGATTCTCAGTGATCCCTCATGAAATCCTGAGTTCACATCCTGAAAATTCTCCCGTTTATTCTTCAAACAGCCTTATATACCAAAACATAAGCTGAGGGGGAAATTCATTAGCATTCTGTTTCCTAGGTAACCAGGTGAATGTATCTTGTCATGTCCACATCTACCTATGCCTGCTCTGCCACGTCTTCCTGCTCTGTATGCCAGCTCTGCCACATAGGCTAAATTAACATCTCTTTTCAGGCATCCTCCAAATCACAAAGAAGGCGCAGAACAACATCCTGACCCTTTGTTAGGGTACCGACAACCTGTCTGGAAGGCTACGTGACCACCTCAGGTGCAGCAGGTGCAAACTATGGCCTGAGATTCTGGCCGCAATACCGTGTAGAAATATGGGCCTACTATTAGAAAATCAATGGATGTGCTCCTCCCTGGGTAAGAGACTATTTCTCCTGTTCTCAGCATTCCTTACTTGCCTCTAGTTTTTGTGTAGAACTGAGGCCCCACAGGCTTTCCTTGGTCCTCTTTGTCATGTCTATTGTTGTTCTTGTTCAGCTCCTGTTTAGGTCACCATGTTGGTGAGACTTTACGGGTGCAGCTTCTGATGTTCCTAAGAGACACAGTCTCAGAGCAAACTCCCCAGTCCTCTGGATCCTGTAATCTTTCTGCCCACTCTTTCAAAATCACTCCTGAGCCGTAGGTGCAGGATCTGTATTGTAGATGTTTCTCTTGGGACTGGGTTGGGTTTTTTTTTTTTTAATACTAAATCAGGTGGTGACTGTCTTTCCACCACTGTCTGGGGTTTGACCTCACGGGCTTATTCACTCGGCTAGTCTCAAAGGAATTGGTCCATAGGGTATGAAGGAAGGAAGGGGAAAAGGTCAGTGTTGCAGGCCATCAGGTTCCTGGGAAAGCAACAGAGGGCTTTGTGTGAATAAAGGTTATCTCATGAGGGGTAATTACAGTGTTTGCATAAAAGTCTTACAAGGTGGGAAAGAGAAAAAGGTATGAATGCCTTGTCATGAACACAAGTGTTATAGTTGTGTCCAGTCCGTGGGGACCCCAAAAGACCACCAGGGAGACCGACTCACCGAAATGCAAAAGCAAGGTTTATTGTGTGCACAATACAACCCAACAGGGACCTCGTCAAAGCAACTGGCACAGCAGTGGCAAGAGGAGGTCCCCCACCCTTCCACAGGGCATTATTTAAAGGCAAAAACCAGAAAAGCTACATTAGCAGGGTGTGGGGTGACAATTTCAATCCTGATTGGCTCGTATCTACAGACTTTTCAGAAATTGTATTTTCGAACCTCATCTGTTGCTTGTCAAGTTTTCTTATTGGCTTACTTTCAGGAGTGGATAGTCTGTGCTTGTCTGTACTTTCCAGATGGCTACCTTGTTACTTTTGCCCCTGGCCATTTTTGAGAACTAAAATGTTTTACAGGAAATAGCTTACACAAGACACAGAATGGAGGCAGAGGACAAAATGGAAGAACTTTGGTTCTTCAATAGTATTTGTCTTAGTCAGGGTTTCTATTGCTGTGACAAAACACCATGACCAAAAAGCAAGCTGGGGAGGAAAGGGTTTATTTGGCTTACACTTCCATATTGCTTTTTATCATTGAAGGGAGTCAGGACTGAAACTCAAACAGGGCAGGAACCTGGAGGCAGGGGCTGAGGCAGGGGCTGGGGCAGGGGCCGTGGAGGTGCTGCTTACTGACTTGCTTCCCCTGACTGGCTCAGCCTGCCTTTTTATAGACCCCAGGACCACCAGCCCAGGAATGGTACCACCCACAATGGATGGAGCCCTCCTGCATTGGTCACTAATTAAGAAAAGGACTTACAGCTGGATCTCATGGAGGCATTTCCTCAGCTGAGGCTCCTTCCTCTCTGATGACTCTAGCTTGTGTCAGGTTGACACAAAATGCTGGGCAGTGGTGGCACACACCTTCAATCCCAGCACTCAGGAGGCAGAGGCAGGTGGATCTCTGTGAATTCAAAGCCAACCTGGTCTACAGAGTGAGTTCCAGGCCAGGCTCCAAAAAAGGCTACACAGAGAAACCTTGTCTCGAAAAACCGAAAGAAAAAAAAAGTTGACACAAAACCAGCCAGTACAGTATTTGATGAAAAGACTCATATTTAATCGTTCTTGCAGTAGCAAGGCTGTGGTGCTCTCTCCTAATAAAGATAACTGTGGTCTCACCTTCATTTCCATTGAAACTGCCAGTTTCTCGCCATCTATTTGTTACAGTAATTATTTAGTTTGGTTTTGGTTTTTTTTTTTGAGAAAGGGTTTCTCTGTGTATCCCCTAGCTGTCCTGAAACTTACTTGTAGACCAGGTTGGCCTTGAACTCAGAGATTCATCTGCACCTGACTCCTAAGTGCTGGGACTAGAGGTATATGTCACCACTGCCTGACTTTGAGTAACTTTTAAAATGAGGACACCATAATGTGGGAAGTTTTTCTGTTTCTGTGTGATTATTCATATCTGAGCAGCCGGGAAACAAAAGTACGGTTTCGGTTTGCACAACCATATCCTAAGAAGCATGTCTCTAGAAAGCACTGAACATTGCCAGGCCTGTCCTGATGAAACTGAACACAGATGAAGTTGCCTGACCTTTGTCCTAGCATGTCTTCACTGCCCATGTTCAGAACTGATGTCTAACTGGTAAAATGAAAAACCTTGTTATAATGATCTGTCCTGTTCCTTTAAGAGACAAGCCACGCCCCCAACCCCCATTCCCCTCCATATGCTGAGGCAGGCAGATCTTTCTTCCTGCTTGCAACCTGAGTCTCTTCCTTTTCCATCTCCCTTTCAAAGATGTAGCTTCTGTCTCTCCCTTCTCCCCACTTCTCCCCTTCCCCCCCTCTACCTCTCTCTCTCTGCTCTTTCCCCTTCTCCCCTTCCCTTCCATGACCCACTAAATAAATATCCAACCTCATTCTGCATGGCATGCCTATCCGTCTGTCTCTTGCCCAGTGTGTGGCTCCCTGCCCAGAACCAGCCACTTTTGGAGACTGTGGCATGGTCTCATGGTGTACTCCTCCCTCTGTCTCTCCTCATGGGACTGGCAGCTCCATCCAGGTCTCTCACCCACCATGCAGCTACCTGCCTGTGACTCGTGGCCCACTGCAGCCACTCGGGGAACGGTGCCATCCCTGCCTGGGACTGGCTGCTCTTGGGAGCCGCTGCCTGCTGTAGCTCAGGAACCTGTGGCATGGTCTCAGGACCCACTGCCCACTGAAGCCACTTGGGGATCCACAACATTTTACTTTTACCATAGCACTTGTCTTAAGGCTTTGTCTTGGCAAACTGTCCCAATCTTTTCAAAGCAATATGATTTAGCATTAATTTATCATTAATAAAGTAGCAAAAATATAGGAAAGGTGGGTCAGAGGATTAGACACTTGGACATAGTATTGTAAAGAGTCCAGAGATCGCAAATGACTCCTTTGACTTGCATGCTTCATAAAAGACACTGAAAAAGCTGTGTCCTTGC